ATTACATTGTTGGTTGGTTAATCGATCTTCCATCTCCCCACTCTATGCTTGCTGATTGGTGGGGAGAGTAGGTGGGGGGGGAGATTCGCGAATCTTCCTTCACCTTTTTTTTCCCGAAAAATGGTAAAATCCGGTCTTACATTGTTGGTTGGTTAATCGATCTTCCATCCCCCCACTCTATGCTTGCTGATTGGTGTAGAGAGTAGGTGGGGGGGGAGATTCGCGAATCTCCCCGCATCTTTTTTTTTCCGAAAATGGTAAAATCCGGTATTACAATGTTGGTTGGGTACTCGATCTTCCATCACCCCACTCTATGCTTGCTGGTTGGTGGGGAGAGTATGTGGGGGGGGGAGATTCGCGAATCTCCCCCCACCTTTTTTTTTCTTGAAAAATGCTTAAATCCGGAATTACATTGTTGGTTGGGTAATCGATCTTCCATATCCCCACTCTATGCTTGATGATTGGTGGGGGTCCATCGTTTGACAAACGCTGGACCCCCGCCCCGGCCGTGCAATTGTTTGGGGTCCAGCGTTTCACGAACGCTGGACCCCTCCAAAAGTACGACCCATGGGCGGGAGTCCAGCGTTTGACAAACGCAGGACCCCCACCTACGCGCTGTACTTTTGGAGGGGTCCAACGTTTGTCATGCGCTAGACCCCCGCCAATGCCTCGGCCGGTAGGCGGGGGGCCTGCGTTTGTCAAACACTAGACTCTCGCCCACGGGCCGTGCTTTTGGAGGGGTCCAGCTTTCGTGAAACGCTGGACCCCCAACAGTTGCACGGCCAGTGGGCGGGGGTCCAGCGTTTGTCAAACGCTGGACCCCCCGCCAATGCCTCGAGCGGTAGGCGGGGGGTCCAGCGTTTGACAACGCCAATGCCTCGAACGGTAGGTGGGGGGTCCAGCGTTTGTCAAACGCTGGACCCCCGCCCACGGGCCGTGCTTTTGGAGGGTCCAACGTTTGACAAATGCTGGACACCCACCAATGGCACGGCCCGTGGGCGGGGGTCCAGCGTTTGTCAAACGCTGGACCCCCCGCCTACCTGCCAAAACATTGGTGGGTGTCCAGCGTTTGTCAAACGTTGTACCCCCGCGAATGGCTCGGGTGGCAGGCGTGGGTCCAGCGTTTGTGAAACGCTGGACCCCCGCCCACCTGCCCCGCCATTGGTGGGGGTCCAGCGTCTAACAAACGCTGGACCCCTCCAAAAGCACGGCCCGTGGGCGGGGGGGGGTCCAGCGTTTGTCAAACGTTGGACCCCCGTCCACCGGGCGTGCTTTTGGAGGGGGTTCAGCGTTTGTCAAACGCTGGACCCGTGCCCGCCGGCTGGGTCGAGGGCTGGGATCAATCGTTTGAACATGCCAGCCAAATGCCAATAGCAACGGCTGGTAGGTAGGAGTCCAGCGTTTCACAAAGGCTGGAGCCCCACATACCGGCTTGTGCAAGGTGGGGGTCCAGCGTTCTACAAAAGCTCTACTTCTGATTACCAACCTCCTCTGTTTCTTATGGACATCTCCTCCATCTAGAGGTCGTAAGGATCCGAATGATGCGGATAAGAGGTACAACAACAGGTCGAAACTGTATCGCGATAAGTTGTGGGCTCTCGACTGGGTCAGTGTGGCCGGCGAGGCCGGGTGTGGTGCTGCTGTGTTTTTGACGGAGGACGAAGGGGCGACCTTGTGGTGGCATCATCAGGTCTGAAATTGACAAGGCCACGGCGGAGAAGGGCAAGGTCGACGAGCGAGACTTGAGGAAGTTCTTCCTCATTCGGTGTACGATGAGCAGGGTACCGACTGGGTCAAGACTGACCACAAGGTCAGCCTCGACCTCGCTCTGTTCAAGGGGTACGGTCAGAAGGCATTCGCTATGAAAGCCTTCGGCAGCAAGCGAGATGGGAATACGTTGAGGATGCTCTTACCCATTGAATTCCTCAGCAAGACCAACGGTTATAGAAAAAGTGGTCAATTCCCGACGGTCGCCGCTGGTCACCAGCTCATGTTACCTATTGTCCCGTTCGACGCTCCTGCCAAAAGTCTCGCAGGCTTATCAGCGTGCTCTAGCGATCGCCGGCAGGTTGTGTCGACACAACAACAACCTGTCGGCGGGAAGGACACAATTATTACTTACCAGAGGCGTTCGGCCGGTGGGTCATCGGGAAACATTCCGAAGAAGAAGGTGGTCGCTGGACCTCCTTCGAATCTTCCGGTGAGCTCGTGTGCTGGTGCCAGCTCACGCTCGCAGGACACCTCTCAACGTCGAATGGACAAGGAGTCAGACGAAGAGATGGAGGATGATGCACGGGTTCGACAAGTGCGTTCCCGGTTGATAGCGACGCCAGGGCACATCCAGGGCGAAGGCTCTTGCGATGTGAATGAGCGGCGGCAAAGTGGTGGAGGTGCCGAAGCTCGAGTGAGGGACGATGGAGAACACGACGAGGATGACGGGGAGTGTGGTAGTGGCGAGGGGCGATAACACATTCGAGGAGCTGTTGATCATATGGAGTGGGAAAAGGTTGTGGTGAGCGGTGGGGTGGGCGGTGGCAATGTCGGTGGTTCGGAAATGGAAGACGAGGAATTGGAAGACGAAGGAGGAGATGCCGGTGTTTCTGCGGGGCTAACTTCCAAGGGGAAGGGAAAACGCACAACGCAATTGTCGCCGACGCTAGCTGCGCCCAAGAAACAGGCTCGAAGGAAAGCTGTGGACGAAGCTCGAGTCGCCTTGGATGCATCTCAAGGGACGCTTGGTGAAGCCGATGTGAAATGCAAATCAAGTGCTCGGGTTCGCAAAATGTCACAACCCAGGAAGCCCGTGCGGCCATCAAGGCGCCAGAAATCGGAGGACTCCAGCGACGATGCTGAAGGGGTGGCCCCTCGCTTGCTCTCCCTCCCTGACGACGACGAGCAGGAGACAAAGAAACCCAGTGCGGTCAATATGACGCAGTGCTTCTTCCTCGAGTACGACGACGACGGAAAAAAGAGAAGAGATCCGCCGAGGGTGGTCATTGACGTCGTGTAGATTCCTACAATTCCGTTGGGAGATATCGCCTTCAACCAGCGATCGCTGAACCCGGCCATCGTTGCAGGCATCGAAGCGGCAATCGATGCATCAACTCGTCCAAGGTCCGAGGATGATCCGGCTCCGTGGGATCCACCGGAGTTGGTGCTGGCTCTGATGACGCCATCAATGGACGAGAACAGCCAAGGGATACACGTCCTTCCACAGGACTTCGATCCCGATAGGGCAGATGAGTATTTCTATTACCCGGTTGTCGGTCAACATACTTCCGAAGCTATGAAAAGAACAGTGGCAAATAATTCTGCAGCAGTGGAGGTGTTCGGCTTTCGGAATTATGATCCTGTGCGGATCATTTATTTCGACGACGACCATACGAACGGGTACGCGTATGTTTCGATATACGACAACACAAGAGTTGACCGTGCTATGTTGTCGTCGTTCCACCAAGCCTACGAGGACATAAGAGGATTTTGGGACTCGAAGAAACGGATCGGCCCTGTGGGGAACGTGTCCAAAGGGGATCCCGCCGGTTTGATGCACCAGGAAGAGTGGAGGAAATTTTTGAGGGCGTGCATGAGAAAGTCATGTGAGAAATCACTGTGGACCGAGTGTTTGGCTCCGAAGTGGCAACAGGACTGGACGAACAGAATGAGGGGATACATGAATGTCGCCACATGCAGGGAAAGGATATGGACATTGGTAAAGGAGTTTTTTCTGAAGTTCGAGGCAGGGGAGTTGGCGCTATACGACAACAAATGCCCAAAGGACTTGCCCGGGAAGCAGGAAGGCCGGGTGCCGGGCCAATTCACTGAAGAGGTGCAAGGGAAGAAGGAGGTGTTCCATTGCATACCAGCTAGGGACGGGGGACTGAACGCTACGGTGTCCTTCAAAGATCTATTTCCGTCAAACTTCAAATGTTTTGGAGATATGACGGCACGAGAGAAGGAAATTGCATTGCGGTTGATGATAAATAAGAAAGTCGTCGCCACTACTAGACTGGTTCCTCCTGGGAAGTTGAATATGACCAACCTCCTCGACATCATAATGCGCGAGAGATACATGATGCGTCTGTTCAACTACATCGTCTTCAAATCGAAGAACAGAGAGGCGAGAGAATGGAAGGACGGGAACTTCTTCGACTATGAAAAAGTGGAGCAAAGGTTTGGTGTGAGGGCAGCTGAATGGGATGAGGAAAGGGATAGGATCCCTTTGGAATACGTCCGGAGGGTTCCAAAAAAACTCGGTGGAGAGCAAGAGGAAAAAGGTCTGAAAGGAGCTGGCTTAAAGGCCAAGGAGACATTGTATAGGGACGCGCCTTTCCACTTCAAGTACTTCGTATACCATGCAATTGGAAGAGTGGGGTTGCTGACAGCTGAGTTGCGACGGTTGAAGAACGCTGAGCTTAAGCTAGGTTGGGAAAAGAAACAACGACGGTCGACATTGCTACCAGTCAACATGCACCCCAAGAAGTTGCTGCCCGCGGCCGACGAAATTGTGACTGCGGCCATGAACTTGAATTGCAAGGCGGCTATCCTCGATCTCGCCAACCCGAAGGAGTGCCTTGCATGGTCGCCAGCTGATTTCGATGCTTTGCACAAAACGATGACGAAATTGTGCGGTAATAATTGGATTTTGATTGTTTTTGCCTTGCAAAAACAACATAAGATCATCATGAAGCAGCTTTACAAATGGGACGATGTAGAGGTGATACCCGAGACTTGAAAGCGTTATATTGGGGCCGGAACGGCTGTCAGCAGGTACGAAAACTTGTAAGTCGATTATAAGGACACGATGAAGATCGTCCTGCATGCCGAGGGCAGCGACCTCAAGAAGGTCACGAGGGCCCCTAAATTGGAGGCGGAGATAGTGGAGTTAAACGTTGAGAAGGAGCACTTCAAGAGGTGCACAGCGAGGCACGGCGGCGAGGAAGAAAACAAACGAGAGGTATATTGGCGGTGGGAACGACATCCCAAACGGTTGCAGAAGTTGTGTAGTTCATTTCTGCACGAGGATCAGGGGGTGATTCTTATCGGCAAGCCACATCCAAGACTTGTGTGGGAGCTTCTGCGCGCTGGTTATCATGTTTTCGCATGAGACTCGTCGTCCAAAGACATTTCGTACTTGACGAGGGCCATCGAAATTTTTGGGAAGGACGTGAGAAACGATTGCACGGTTCAGAGACAGAAGACTACGCACCGTCCGGACAGGGACATGTACCACAAGCTGGGCAAGAAGAGAAACAAGATGTGGGAATATCTGTTCCAAGGCTAACCCAAGTTGTCATTCGAGCATGACTACATAGTTCGCAAAGCGATGGCACAAGAAGCGTATGGTGGCTGCCATAAAGCGCAGGTGGGTGCGTTTGCGATGTTCGTGGCGAGATGTGAACAAATGAAGTTTGCAGCAAATCAGGCAATGCTGACGTACGAAGAGTATAGCAACATTGTCAAAACAACCGATGCATGGAATCCGATCGGGAGCGACGAGGAGACCGAAACATCGGACCTCGAAATCGAAGAGCGAGTGAAACGTTTGCAAGAGGGAATGCAAAGTGTGCCTACATGCAGCGTGCCGAACGAGAATCCAGAAGAAGGTCGCACGAAATCGAGAGTTGCGAGCAGTCCGACACGTGACGTGAACGACAGGGCAAGTTCCGTTGATCAGATGCAAACGGATTCGCCTACGCCCCTCAGAGGACTTGAGAATGCATTGATTCATGGCAATCGTCACGGGTTCCAGGGGAGACCTCGTACTCTTCAAGGAAACACGGAACACAAGATGCTGGCAGACGCCGATGAGGATGACTTGGCGGTTCCAGATGCCCTTCCGAGGCTGATGCCCGGTGATGATATTCCCGATCGCATTGTGCAGGCCAGCGAACGGCCGTACTTCATTGAAGACAAGGTGCCAGAAACGACGTCTGAGAAGTGGGGGCATCACATTTTGTGGCATACAGACGTATTTGAGCCATGCATTTTCAAGGGAGAGTGAATGATGGCACTGCATCTAACATCAGGATGGAAAGTCAAACCGAGACTGGCAGAAGTACTGTGGCTGAAAGTGACGAAGAGCGAAATCGCCTTCCGTGTCAGGCGCGAAAACGACGGAGCGGACGAGGCATCTATTGAGGAGAAGGCTCAATTGATATTCGATTCTCTGAACTCCAACAATCAGTTGGAATATAAACACAAGTTCTATGACTTGCCGTCAAGCCAGTCATACAAGACCATCGATTGGAAGATCGAACTTCATCATGCGTGCCAAGGCATTGAGACAATCCGGTTGGATGCTCACAGCTTGGGGGGCAGTTGACGACGCACTTGACTGCCAGTGTTGGGGAAGCGATCAGTCAAACCAATGTCAAGATAATGGGGGTGGACAAGGGAACACGGAATGTCGACAAAGATCCTTCGAACGTCGCATTGTACAGGCCTCCTCTAACAACTCAGGTGGAAAATAAGAGTGCATCGCAGATGGAGAGCCCCACTCCTTCCACGAACATGGCGGTTTCAGATGAAATGCAACAAGGTGGGTATGCAGAACATGCGAGTGAGGTGCAAAAAGATTCCGATGAGATGATGAAACTGCTGGATGAGGTGGAGAAGGACGGGTAGAGGAAGCTTGAGGGATCAACCATGTCCCAGACGGTGATTAATTGTATATCGTTAAGCGATGAAGGGGTAGACGTACATGTAGAGGGGCGCGATGACAATGAGGATGCAAGAAACAATGCCTATGAACAGAAGGTAGTGGATAACGGAGGTCAACCTGCAAGACGATGGACAAGAGAAATAAAGAAAAAACACCCGATTAATGTGTAGATATATGCAGAGGCTAAGTTCGGGTTCGCGTGACACTCTGTGTATGTGTGTGAGTGCTTGTACGCAACTCAGATAAATATTTTCGGCGGGAGACGTGTGATATAATAATTGATTCCGCAGTAAATTGGAGAGGACATCAGATAACAGTGTCAATCATGATACCTCTCTCTCTCTCTCTCTCTCTCTCTCTCTCTCTCTCTCTCTCTCTCTCTCTCTCTCTTTCTCTCTCTATCTCTATCTCTGTCTATCTATCTATCTATCTATCTATTTATCTATCTATCTATCTCTATCTCTCGATCGACTTATCGATCGATGAATCTAACGAAAGTGTGATTAATAGCGAGGAATGTCAGAAATGTACGTGCACATTGTCATAAAACACTGGTAACGAGGTCGATGAATATAATGAAGAGATGTCATTGGTATATAAGTTTTTTCAAAACTCGCTCGTTGAAGGTAACTCCTAGTTAATGCGGTTGATGAATATGATGGAAGTGCATGAAAGAAAATAATTGAGTGTATTGGTTTCAACTACGTAAATTACTCGTTCTAATAAGCACCCCGCTCTTTTTACTAGTTCTAATAAGCACCCCGGTCTTTTAAGGTAACCCTTACTACGTATTACTACAACAAATTGAATGCAATGAACATGACTAGAAATGGACGTATTGAAACATGAGCACACATAAAGACATGGCGCGTTGTCATGTGCAGCGCAAACGACAATGGAGGATAACCGGAGGTGCAAAAATGGATGGACCGTCCACTTGGCAACAACGAATTTGACGGAGAGAGAGATAGAGGCCCTCATGCGATTGCGAGTGAAACTTGGGGATAACGACGTCATAACAAGTTCATTCAACGAAGACACAAAAAAAGAATTAATGATGACAGTCAACGATTTTAGCTTGATAATGATAGAAAAAAAGTGGTTGAACGAACAGATAGTTAATTTTTATCTTAACCTTGTCCGACTGGACAATGAGTGTCGTGTCAAGCACCATAATTGCAATTCGAAGAACGAAAACGTCGTTAGAACAGGAAAGGGGCGCATTTCTACAATAGCAGTTCTAAGCTCATTTTTTTTTGCAAAACTATTTGATAGCAATATGAAGTTCAAGTACGAAAAGGTTCGCAGCTGGTTCACAGAGGTCATGATTAGCGACATGGATTTGATCATTGCACCTTTTTACGTCGCGCACAACCAACATTGGACACTCGTAGTGGCAGACCTTAGGCGTATGAAATTTGAGTACTACGATTCGCTGACGCCGGATGTTGAACTCGCGGCGAAGGTGACAGGGGGGTTCGCAAGATTTCTGTACATGAAGTCGGTCGAACAAGGTCAAGAAATTGACACGAACAACTTCAACCATATATGGCAAGTGGAAGGCATTCCAAAGCAGCGCGACTTCAACGAGTGCGGTGTGTTTATGCTGACATATGCATCACTATTGGCGAGAAGGTTTCTTCCACCTTTCACGTTCACATCAAATGATACAAAAAAAATACGATGCTGGATAGCTTTCGACGTAGCTGTTGTGGAGTAGACGAATTTGTTCCATTTACAGTAAAGACGTTCAAACACATGAAATCACCATGTAGTGATCACAAATAGATCTGATATAGGAGAATAATAGTTTTTAAGTAAAACGAGGATTAATTATGGGGTTCACGATGAATGTAACTGGTCATGCGATAAGGACATCTTATGAAAGGTCATTTTATCTCTTACATATTACTCCTCTCCTCCTTACCCCTTACCCCTTACCCCTTACCTCTTACCCCCTACCCCTTACCCCCCTTACCCCTTACCTCTTACCCCTTNCCCCCCTACCCCTTACCCCTTACCCCTTACCCCTTACCCTTACCCTTACCCTTACCCCTTAACCCTTACCCCTTACCCCCCTTTTCATATCACAAATAATTCAAAAATGAAGAAAAAAAGAGGAAAAAATTAGAGTTTCAATTTCGTTCAAAAAATAAAAAATGTCCGTTTTGACGAAATCGTAGTTCATTGCAGGTGGTTCCTGCTATTATGACGTTGTTCAGTTATGCTGTATGCTAAAGTGATGCCTCACCAGGCCGAATATGGTAGGTGTGTTGCACCCTGGCACAAGGGTCATGCTTTCAAAGCCCTTTTGCAAGTCCTTTCGCAAGTCCAGTATCCCAGCGGTGGTAGGAGAACCGCCAACATTAAGGACTTTCTATGGTAAGTGATGATATGTACCAATGTTGTGATTGCAACTAGACTAACAACCATACTTTTGTACTGACAGCAAGCTACTAGGCTCATCTGCTGGGATTGAGCTTTGGCAGGTAAACCTACAGAGCAGACTAAGTTGTATGCCTATTTGCCAGCGTATGATGAATGATAGTATACACAGGTCTCCTGCCTGTTGCCAGGAGAATTGGAGACCGATTGCAGGTATTAATCTGCTACATCTCATTCACATCCTGTACACCCCAACAGTGGTAGGAGAGCCGCCAGAATTGGATCAGCAATGCAATGTGTTGCGTCGGGGTCAGAGTTATTAGTCGTATACTCAGAGTGTTATTTCCCAGTGGGATACAGGCCAAACCCTTCCCCTACTTGAGCTGTATTTGTTAAAACTGATGTAGTCCCGTTTGCAGCCCTTCCTGGAAGATTCCTTTGGAGTGTGTGGGGGATATGCTCCGTCAACGTTGAGTCCGCCTTGAGTTAGACCATCACAGGTGGTCGTGCAATTGCCAGCATCATCCCCTGCATCATGAAGATTTCATCCACTTCCCACCGACCCACTCACTTGCTGAATGTTGGGATATGAGCCAGGACACGACAGAAATGGCCACAGTCCTAGGAAACAACAAACAATGCTCTCTGTATTATAAGATGTATCAATGAGATGCTGGACCCGGTTTCCAACAGGTGCCGCTCCCCACCAATAGATGGAGCAGCCCGACAGATAAGCCCTCAATTCGGGCGGTTCTC